GTCCACTGGGCACGGGAGTGATTGGCAGGCCATGAAATCTATGGAAGACTGAGACACCCTGCATGATTCCCTGTCCGGGGCCAAGGGGTATGGAATGGGGGTACCACCGCGGGTCTTGGTAACAGGCACCCATGAGGGCAGGTAGGGAAGGAACTGGTAGCTCAGAGTCACCCCACAGTGCATTTCCCCTCTGGCCAGGCAGCTGCCTCTTGTGGCTCTGTATGCCCCAAAATGTACTCTTAATGCCAGAGGCGGTGAAACATGGGACCCCCTAACACCATCAGGAACAAAGCCTTTGCTCTGACAAGGACGTGAAAGGCCACCACAGCCCCCAGAACAGCTTTAGGATGAACAACTTCTTTACCATCCCAGGAAGGTCCACAGCTGAGGAGTCATGGGTTGGCTTCAGGTCCCAAAGCAGCAAGCTGCCTACGGAGGCAGAGGCAGGCTGGTGACCTCAGGTGGGGTAGTTATCCCCAGCTACTATTGGGGATGAGGCAGTGGGACAGATGTAAAGTCAGGAGAGGGGCAAAGGGTACCGGGTCCCCAGCCCTGTGTTAGGAGACAAGCAGATGTGGTGCAGAGGAAGATGGCAGGGGACGGAGGCCAGCCTGCAGTGCAGCTGGACTGGACCCTTGGTGCCTGTACCCAAGGCTGATATCAGTCAGAGAGGTCAGGGCCAGGAGGTCTGACCCCTCATTATACAGGCCAGGGACATATCCAGGCTCTCAGGATGTCAAGGCAGAGCAGGACCACGGATCAGAAACTCCTGGCCATTGTGCCTCAGATTACTCTCTCCTCTTCACAAATGTCTGTCTCTCCTCCAGTAGAGACAGAGGCTCAGTAAAGAAGGCTGTGGATAGACCTCAAGACCTAGGAAGGGAGCACCCACCCACAATGTGGTTACCAGGATGGGTACAGCAGGGGCAGCACCTGTGACTCCTATTCTCCAAATCACCCTCCAGTCCAGCACACCAGGCCCTCTTTGCCTGGAGTCCCCAAGCCTCCTACTCAGCCTGCTCAACCTTTCCTGAGCAACTCCCCACACCTGAGAAGGAGGGGAGGGAGGGGGTGTGACTCAGTGGGATAAAGGCAGCTGTTCTATTTGAATGATTACATAAAGCCAGGAGGAAGGCAGCTGCAAGGTGATTACAGAGGTCAGAAACCCAGCCAAGGCTGGGCTGAAAGGCATGGGTCTCCTCCTGGACTCTCTCTGCACTGTGGGGCTGCAAAGCCTCCCTAGATCTAACCACTTGAGGAAGGTTCTGCACCGCACCCCTGGAAACTAGTTCTCAGGTTTCTAGACACCCCAAGGCCAGATCCTGATGAAGCTATATAACCTGCCAGGGAACCTTCTCCAGCATGGAAGACACAAATGAGAACAGTTGGCCCTTTGTTAAGAAAAGGAACCTACTGGGGTAGGTACCATGCCCCAAGCCTGATCTGTCCTTGCGAGGCCACTTACTGGCCACCCTGGGCCTCCCCACGGTGAAGGGAGAGCACACGCAAGGCCTCAGGACAGCAGGTGTCAGCTGGGCTCGTATGGCTGCCAAGGCTAAGGGCTGGCTGGAGATTTCACGCGGGACCACATCCACATTAACCCCCTCTCTGCCCTGAGGAAACCGACACGGGTGGAAGATAAAAGACCAAACTCAAGAGCGAGAGCAGGACTTGCTGGGTTGGTGTTTGCAGTGACCAGGTAGGATTAGCGCGGAGACAAGGAGGGGCAGGGCTGGGACAGGGTGCAGGAGGGTATGGAGGCCAGCACTGGGCACCAGCACAAGGCCCACCACCTTCAGGTCTGTGCTAGCTCCTTCTATGGGCCCCCCAACCCTGGAGGAGGAAGCTTTGCCCACCCAGATTGTGTTGCTATGACACTGGTCTCCATGGTGCCAGGCACACAACCCTCCCCTCATCAAGAGCAGTGAGGAGCTGGAGATGCAGGTCCCTGGCACCCTCTTAGTCTATCCCTCTGCCTAGATCAGTCCTTGGGGTTCCCCAACTTGAACCTTCAGAGACAAAAGTAGGGAAGAATGACAGTTTCCACTTCAGAGTCAAAAGAGTGACAAGGAGGGGACTCACGGAGAACAGACAGGATTGCAGGAAAGTAGCAGATGGGGGAGGGAAGGCAGGATGGGGAAGAGAGCCACACTCCAGTCACCAGGCAGAGTGCCTCCCAGCTGACAAGGGGTGGGAGGTGCCGTCCGGCCCAGCTCTTTGGTCTGTGGGTGGAGGTGGGCGGACAGAACAGAGGGGGAGGTGGGGGGAGAACAAGAGGGGGAGGAGCAGCAGCAGAACAATTTTCCTAGAGAGCTCTTTGTGTGGGTGTTTCTCCACGTGCTGTGTGGGTGCGCGTGTGTGTTGCACTTGCAGTATGGCAGTGCAAGCTGAGGTGTGCAGGCACACGTGTGCAGAGCATAAGTGTGTGCGTGTGGCCTGTGTGCGCCTGTGTCACTGTGTCTCCAGGGTGATAAATACAGCAGGAGCTGTAACCAGGGCAGAGAAAGTGCGGAAATTTCCACAGAAATAGAAGAGGGGACATGCCAGGGCCAGCGAGTTCTTCGCCCCTGGCTGGCTGAGTACAAATCCTCCTTATATTTTCATAGAACATGGATACTGGGAAAGAATATTCCAAAGGCAGTTCCAGACAGGAGGGGCAGAGAGATTCTGAGCCTCTCTCTCTCTCTCTCTCTCTCTCTCTCTCTCTCTCTCTGAGATAAAAACCATCACACAGTTCCAGAGCAGTGTCTGGGTCATTCAGTCACTAAGTGGCAGGAATGATGCTGTTTTCTGGTAGGGACAGGGGCTCATTAGACAGGGGTGTGGCCATGTCTCCTTCGGTGGCAGAGCTAAGACCTGATAGTCAGGGTGCAGAGGGGAGGCCCTGGGGTGTCTGAGGTGTCTGGTGATGAGGGTGTGAGGCTCCGGAGTGTGCAGGGGTGCTAAGCAGCCCTTGCAGCAGGTCACGCCTTTGTCTGGGCTCAAGACCATTCCCTCCCTTGGGGGGCCCCTCCCTCTCAGCATTCCCTCCCCTCAAGGGTTCCCTCTTCCCCCACACCACTTACTCCTCTGCCCCAGTGTTCAGCAAACTCTGCACACAGCAGGTGTTCAACAAGCACTTGTGAATGAGAAGTGGACACAGTAAATATTCAATGAGTGTGGCCCCAATCTCCCAAACTCTCCTCCCGGCCGCCTGAAGATGTCTCTGCAGACACATCTGGGGCCCTGCCATGGGACACCACTAGCAGTTTACACTCACTCGCTCACTCAATCCTCCCAAGAACCTGCTAGTAGGTAGCTCCAAAGGACACTGAAAGAACCCAGATCAGAGGCCTAAGCAACTTCCATAGCCACACAGACCCTTAAGGAGATGTCTGCCTACACACCCACGCTTTCTAGGGCAGAACTGTGGGCAGACGGCAGCATGAACAAAGGACCAGTAAGAAGTTCCACGGCTCCTCCAACCTGTGACCTACCTTCTCTCTCAGGGTCCCCTCCCCTGTCCTCCTCCAGGAAGCCCTTTTTCCTCCAAGCTCCCTCCCCCATACATCCAGGCTCTTCCTACCCCAAGCAACCCAAAGACACAAGTACAAGGACGGCCCTCCCTTCTGGCACTGGCCCCTGCTTTACAAATCCCTGCGATAGGGGCTGGAGAGATGGCTCAGTGGTTAAGAGCATTGCCTGCTCTTCCAAAGGTCCTGAGTTCAATTCCCAGCAACCACATGGTGGCTCACAGCCATCTGTAATGAGGTCTGGTGCCCTCTTCTGGCCTTCAGACATACACACAGAAAGAATATTGCATACATACATAATAAACAAATCCCTGTGATAACAGTGCCTCCTGCCTTCGTGCCCCAACACCTGTGGTCACTTGAGGCTCAATGGCTCCTGCAGGGGAAAAGCATTCCACAGTGTCACAGCCAGTGCTGGTCACTGTCCCCTTCTCGGGGAGCACTCATGGAGGAAAACTGTGCAGGAAGCAGGAGGAGAGCTGAGGAGGCTCTAGTGTCAGGCAGTGGACAGTAGGCACTGGGTGAAGGTAGAAGGTGGGCTTCTACCTTCTCCCATGTCCAGAGCCTAAGGCCAAAGCCAGGGGCAGGGCTGAGTGGTCCAGCTGGCAGCAAAACAAAGACAGAGCCAGGACCATCACTCTAGGGGGGTAGGGGTGTTTACACAGACCTTGTTCAAAATGAGCAACCATGAGCAGTCCATGATCGCCCCCTAGTGGCTGGATGTAGCCCCTTCAGCTAGTCCCTAAACCAGGGTAATGACAGGGTCAGCCCAGCAGAGGGCACCTCTCCTTGCATTGACTTATTGTGGTGAACAATAAATACATCAAATCTAGGGAGATCTTGGGCCCTGTCCTGCCTGGAGGGCACGGTCGAATGGTTAGGTCAGCTGTGAAACAGGTCAGCAGGGCTGTCTCCTGACAAACACCACCCCTTCCTGAGAGATGAGACCCACAACAACCCACGTCCAGACGTACAAAGCCCACAGCATCCCGTTTCCCACTGAGGGGACGACAAACAGAACACCGACATCTCTGCTGACTAGGCCACTGAGACATGATGGTAACATCTTCCCTAGGGGTCTCCAGTTTGTCTTTGAATAGCTGGTAGACAGGCTCTGCTCTGGAGACATCTGCAAGGGGCCCAGGGACAGGAAGTCCATCTCCCTAGTTCAGCAGTTCTGTGAGCTGCGCTCTCCCTGTCTCCAGCAGGGGCTAAGAAGGGCTGTGCTGTGCCACCAGCAAACAGATCTAGTCCCCAGCTCAGAAGGCTGCAGGAATAGGGGCTCAGGCTTTTCCTCACAGTAGGTGAGGGCCAGCCAGGTCAGCCTCTGCTGGGACAGGGAGAGCAAACAGCTCAGCAAACACGCAGAGAGCAGAACTCAGGTCCAAGCTCCAGAGCACCAGCACTGACCTCTAGCTTCACAACCAGCTGTGCCCTTAGCCCAAGATGCCAACCCCCCAGACGACTGCAGGCCCTAGCACCACAGTGTAAAATATACAGATATATTTATATTATCAAAAAGTATCCGAAGTCGGGGAGGGGTAGCAGACAGCCACAGCCCGGGCCTCCCCGCAGCATATACCAGAAGTGGGCTGACATTCCCAAGTCCAGCTTTCAGCCTGTAAAGCTTCCCAAGAGCTCCCTCCCGGACTCCTAGGAGTTCCTTCAGAGTAGCAGCCTATGGGAAGGGGACAGGCTCCCTCCCAGGTGAGGTCCCTCCCTGCGGGACCCCAAGCCTCCAGCCCCTCTGGCAGCACTCCTGATTTCCGCCCATCTCTCCAACCCCGCAAACTCAAGGAGAGTGACCCTGGGTAAGCAAGCCAGGCCAGGAGCATTGCATGACTGGAGAGCAGGGGAGGGCCCTTCCTCCCAGGAAAATCTCATTGCCAGCCCCGTGTTGCCCAGCCAAGGAGCCTGTGCTGCAGTCAGGATGCTGGGATGTAGGTGTGGCTTCCCCATGCATGCAGAGCACGAAGGTGTCTCAACAGGAAGGCTTCCAGGAGGCAGTGCTGGTGTTCCAGAGCTCAGACAGGACGGAGGAGCTGCAGGGAGCGGAGAAGCCCAGTTCCTATAAGTGCTTAGTGACAGTAAAAGGGACCAGCTAGCAACAGAGTCAACGCAGAAACGTTAGCAGCTGGGGTTCCCAGGGCCAGACAGAGGGGGCCCCAGAAACCTAGGGAAGGGACTAGAGGAGCTCTGAGAGAAATTGGGGAAGTGAAGGCAGGTACCCAAGCAGGTATCCCCTCCCTCCTGCCCCCACCACTCCCCCCCTCCCGCCCCACAGGGCCCAAAGGCACTTACAGAGAGGGGGTCAGCGGTGAAGGCCGCCACACTCCGGTGCCCTCCTCCCCCCACTCCCGCCCCACAGGGCCCAGAGGCACTTACAGAGAGGGGGTCAGCGGTGAAGGCCGCCACACTCCGGCGCATCTCATTTTCACTGCCGCGCAGAGGGATCAGTGACACGCTGCCCATCCGGACCTCGGGCACTGCCCGGGACACTCTAGAAGGCTCTGAGGGCCATACTAGGCCTTCGTGCTAGAGAACAATCAGGAAGCTAGGGTCTGGGCCACATCTCAGTTTGCAGGCTCAGCTCCTGATCCACCCACTCTTCTCGGAAAAGCCTCCAGCTAGGATCTGAGCTGGCGCCCTCAGCTTTGACTGAGGCTGAGGAGAAGCGGCTGTTTGCAGATGACCGGATCTCAGCACAAACCAGTCAGCCAGATTACTCAACGACTCCCATGTCTGGATCCACAAACCTCCCGAAGAATGCAGCATCAAGAAAATCATTTCCCCCAGAAGATACTGTCCGTGCCTCCCCTTCTCACCAATCAAGAACTGCAGAAACCACTGTTTCCATTTAAGCTTTGACTATCAGGAAGCTCCCAGTTAAAATAATATAACTGCAGAGAAAGAATTCAGCCCAGAGCCCTGGTAGTTTTGAATCTCTTCTCCCTAAACAGTTCTGAACTCTGCTGAGCATCTGTTCTAACTCATCTATTTCCGCCTAAGCAGCCTCTGGCCTTGCTCTGGCTCAGGGGTGGTCCCCCAACCCCTGCAGCGTGGGTGTGGCCCTTCAGGCTCTGCCCCCTGCACGCAGGTGCTGAGGGAGCTTACTCCTACACAACCACTCTAACTCACTGAAACTCGAGGTCTAGTTCAGCCTCCTGAGTGTGGTCTCAAAGCTCTTACAATCTGCTGCTGACCGATGCAGGCCAACCTCTGGCACGCCTGGCTTCTCCCCTTGCAAGTGTTGAATATGGTCGTTTGGGTGAGAATGGCCTTCATAAGCTCAATTAAATGCTTGGTCCCCAGTTGGTGGAACTGTTTGGGATTAGGAGGCGTGGCTTTGCTGGAGGAGGTGTGTCACTGCGGGAGAGGTTTTTAAGTTTTAAAAGTCTATGCCATGGGGCTGGAGAGATGGCTCAGAGGTTAAGAGCACTGACTGCTCTTCCAGAGGTCCTGAGTTCAATTCCCAGCAACCACATGGTGGCTTACAGCCATTTATAATGAGACCTGGCGCCCCCTTCTGGCTTACAGGCACACGTGGAAGGAATGCTATTCACATAATATAATAAATAATAAATATTTAAAAAAAAAAGTCTATGCCATTTCCAGTTAGCTTGCTCTCTTGCTCGCTCGCTCTCTCTGACTTCTGCTTATGCATGAGGTATACAGTCTCGGCTATTGCACCAACACCATGGCTGCCTGACGCTGCCATGCTCCCCACAGCAATCAGAGACTCTAACCCCGTGGAACTGTGAGGTCCCCAAACTAATGCTTTCTTTCTTATCTTTTTTACCCATAGGCCTTTAGATATGCTGTTTCCTCTGCCTGCCCTTAAGCCACTCTTCTCTGTGTCCAGAGACCTAGTTCCTATGACGCCATCTCTGCTGCTGGCACTCTCCCTGGTGCAGCCTCTGGAGGAGCCCTGCACCCAGTACCTGTACAGAGAGGAAGGTGGCAAACCACTCCCGGAGCTCCATCTGCGTGTCACAGCAGAGGTACCTGTGGAAGGTACAGGTCGGGTTACTGCCCAGAGCCTCGGCCAGCCCCGTCTCCTGCCCACCTCCCAGCCCAGCCTCAGGACGGGGCCCTGGCTCACCACTGCTGCTTCTCGTGCTTCTCCGTCTCATGCACCACTGTGAAGCCCCAGCTGCAAAGAAGAACCAGAGAAGCTGTCACTTGACACTTGCCAAGACAGCCTGGGCAGAGCTGAGGCAGAGCGGAGGCTTCCCCTAGCATAGCACACTGAGGCCACTGCCCCTCGTCTCTCCCCACCCCAACCTTGGGCCTGAGATGAGGATGCTGTGTGCCTAGCATGGTGGAGATACTGAGTTCAACCCTCAGCACCAAAAACCAAAAAAAACACCCAACCGTACTGATGCCTGCCCAAGCTTACTCAAGAGCCAGAGTCAACCAGGCACGGCCAACAGATGAGGAGAAAGTTAGAAAACCAAGTCACATGACTGCAGTGCCTACCAGCCACAGTGGCATGCATCACTTTTCGACTTACTGAAACAATATACTCGGGGTTGGAGAGACACCTGCTGCAAGCATGAAGCCTTGCAATCACATAAAAAGATGGATATGACTATGGTGTCTGTAACTCCAGCACTGGGGGGCAGAGACAGGCAGGTGGATCCCCAAAGCACACTGGCCGGCCAGCCTAGCCCAGATGCTGAGCTTCAGTGAGACCCTGTCTCAAGGCAATGACGCAGAGAGTGAGGGAGGCGGACACTCCAAGTCCTGCAGTCCTGCTCTGGCGTCCACGTGAGCATGCGTGGGTAAATGCAGCCAGGGGCTCAGTGGCAACATCGCACACACATATAAGCCTGCCCCAAGATACCTCATACACGCATTCTCAACAAAGCGGACCAGCGATTCTCAAACATGAACAGGCACTGTTACCCGAACATCTGAGGAGACACTGAGTCCTGGGCCCTATTTACAGAACCCCAAACCTGACAATCTGTGCTTCTGTGGTGTGCCCAGGTGATGCTACTGGCCAAGAAGAGCCCGAGTACAGAACTACACCACCCATAAAGCTTAACCCCAGCTCTGCCTCCTACTGATCCTAGCCACAGGCCTGGCTTACCAGGTAGGTGGCCGCAGTTTCTTCTTTACACCCAGGTAGACTCTGAGGCTCTTGACTGGCCACTCCCTCTCAGGCCGGTGACTCTGGGAGGACACTTCATCAGTCAGGGGGGTACAGTGGGGAGTGGCTCTTCTGCCAGCAAACTGCTCTCCCCCACCCCCAGCACCCAGGCTGTCCAGGAAGCTTTCTCACGAAAGCCCTTCCTGTTCATTGTCCAGCCACAGCCGCCACTCTCTGCAGCAGCATCAGACAGTCAACCCTCAGTCCTCAAGGTAGAGTTCCTGCTGGGAGGGCCAGGGTGACGATTCCCAGCCCCTGCTGCCTGGCTTGTAGCAAAGGCCGGACACCGCCACCAGCTGGAAGGCAATCTGAATGCCCTCCTCCACAACACTTGGAAGCAGGTTACTCTCCCTCCCTGCCCACAGAGGCTCCAGGGTTGACCGTGTGAATCAAAGCTTGGGGACCAGCAATCGCTAGCACTTTGGCCCCATCAGAAGGCCAATGTCTCAAGCTGAAGCTTAATGGCTGTTCTGTATGTAGGCCAGAGGGAGGAAATTCCCAGTGGTCTGAGACAAGAAGCAAAAGACCCATACACCAGGGTGGGGAGCCAGATTACTGAAACACTAGTCTGGGCCCCACCTCTGCATTTATGGGTCTGGGCTTGGTAGAAGCAGGCTGGCTCAAAGGCAGAGGGGAGGGGATAGGAGCAATGACCTTCTGCTTGAAGGTCAATGACCTTCCTCCTGTTCTGGGAGCCCTCTGCTTAGAGTCCTTCCCGAATAAGGCACCCCTGCAGCCAGCAGGACGTCAGGAAGGGCAGTAGGGGAAGAGGATGCAACTGGGGCTCCAAAACTGAGCCATCCCCATCTGGGTCCCATCATTGCTCCCAGCTGTCCCCGCGCATGGCTCCTCTGCAGGAGAGAGAATGATCTGGCAAGGAACCAGAGGGGCCTTCTGTGTCAGCTCAGGGATATGGCCAGAGCCCCTGTATGATCCGGGGCCTCGGAAAGGAGAGCACCTCACTCAACAATCACATCTCCCAAAGATCCCGGAACACACCTGGCTACAGGTGTGGGAATCAAGAACCAGGGTGGACAAGGAAGCTAAGGCTGTGGTAGAAAGCAGGATATGGGCTGAATGCAGGGAGGAAGACCTGCTCCCCAACAGGCAGAGACGAAACTGAGACCCTGAAAGTCAGCTTGAGCACTAGGAGGCAGGAGTGGAGGGCACAGCAGGGCACAGCAGTCCCGGGCAGGGCAGGAGGTCGACAGCCCCCTCATCTGGAAACACATACTTCAGGCTGAGAGAGGAGGAGGCAGAGGCGCCAAGACTCTCCCTATAGGACTTGCACTTCCAAGCAGCTCCGGGTTCTGGCTCCACTGATGTCCAAGGTCATGGGCAAGGAATAAAATTTATGCTCATGGTACCTCACGCTGGTGCCATGATTTTTCTAGAATATGCCTTTCTCACGTGCTCCAGGGTCTAGACAACAGAAGGTCTTGGGGTGGGGACTGAGAGGCCACAGAGTCTGCTGTACCCTAATTTCCAATAGTCTTTCCTGTGGCCCCATGAACCAACTGACGTCAGCATTACCAGCACTTCAGTGGCCTCGCCACATGGGCTGGTTCTGCCAGGCAGAGGCCCTGCAGTGCTGACAGCCTCCCAGCTATACCCTGGAGCTCTAACCTGCCAGGATACAGGCCAGAATCAAACCCTAACACAACGACCTTCATCCTAGACCCCAGTGAGCAAAGCCCCTTGAGTCAGCCCCTCGGCCCTCTCTCACCCCAGAAAGAAGTGACTTCCTCCTCGAGAAAATAGGGCCTGGTGCTAAGTCCAGCTCAACAGCCAGCAGACCTGGCCCCTCTCTCCATGCCAAGAGATCAACAGCTGCCTTTCCAGGTGTCTCAAGCACCCCCTCTCCCCTCCTACCCACACGATGGCTTCACTCTGCTCCGCCAGACTAAGGAAGCACCTCTAGGATGGCCAGGGGAGATAACGTCTTAGAACCATGCTGGACTGACTGCGGGAGTGAACAGACTCAGAACTGAATGAGACCCGAGAGGAGGAGAAGACAACGGAGGTGCTTGCTGGGCGTCGTGAGCAGAGGAACAATGTGCAAAGACACAGAGAGGAGACGCTACACCAAATGATGGATCCTCCACAACAGCAAATCTGCTCTTATGCGCTCAGGGGATGCAAGGAACTAGAAAGGGCTGGAGACTGTGCTGAAATCGCTGCAGGACCTCAGGCTAGAACACCATGCTTGGCATCGCACCTCCTCCTTCCTTCCGCATAACCATCCACACTCCGTGTGCCCTAAAGCACAGGTACTACCCACAAGGTACCACGGAAAGTAGATTCTCAGCTGAACCCGAGCCAGGCAGAAGTTATAGGCTGGGCAGCCTGGAGAGGAAAGTGGAGGGCCCTTGTGGGTGGCCAAAGAAAGCTGGGCCACTAACTAGGGAGGCTGGGTGGGCATATTCCCCCCCCCCCCATGAAGAATGTTCTGGTTTGGCACCTGAGGGTCAGCAGTGTCAGGGGCATCAGACAGCTGCAGCCCTTTGGGTTTGGAAGGGGGGCAGCTCTGAGAGCAGCGGAGCAAGTGAAACAATTTTAATCCAAACTTGGGTCTCTATTGCTGGCTCCAAAATGTCTTCTCTGTGTACTATGGAAAATTCTAGTATCACACCAACTAGAGACCCTATCTTGAAGAAAAGCTCTTAGTTTGGGGCTAGGAATGAAAGGCCAATGACCATTGGTAGGAGGACAGGAAACCATGCTTGGGGAGAACCGGGAGCCCTGACTGTTCCTAAGCTCCACCCGGCTTGCCTGGGCCCAGGTGGTGTAAGGCAAGGCAGCTGGCCCACAGCTACTCACGGTCTCGGGGGCCCCGCTCCACGGCCTTTGGCTCTGTTTGATAGAGGAGCAGGGTTATGAAGGGCATCAGCCCAGTCTAGAGCCAGGACAGATTATGTAGGTAGTGCGAAGGGAAAGGGGAGAGGTACAGGCAGGGCGTGTGTGTGTGTGTGTGTGTGTGTGTGTGTGTGTGTGTGTGTGTGGAAGATGGCAGTCCCAAGGGGTCTGGTCTAGGACAACACCTGGCATGTGTGTAGAGTAGGTCAGAAGGGCTGTGTCCTAGGAAGGGGCAAAGTACACACCGTCACAGCTTGGGACTGCTGTCACGGAACATATGCTTGTTAGAGCTGTGACAAACCATAGACACAATACGGGAGCATGCGTATGATGTCATGGCAATCTCATTCACTCCCAGGCCTCAGGGGGCCACAGCAGAAGACACAGCTATTGTCAGCCATTGTGTTGCCGAGACCCCTCAGATGGGGACCGCACTCTTGGAGACCATGAGAGCCAATGCAATGTTTGCATATGGTGTCTGAGCACACACGGGACACAAGTCCATCTCAGGGCTTACCCGAACCTCCTTATAGAGTCGCAGGCAGCTGCTGTTGAGAATGAAGTAGCGATCGTGGAAGCCACCCGAGGGCAGCCCCAGACCCAGGAGGCTTCGGTCTTCCCGGAACTTCATCATGCCGTGCTTGGTGTCCCCCACACGGCTGGCTAGGGGAGGACTGGAGTGGGCATGGGCTATACTACCCCCCCACCAACCTCAGGGCCCCACGTCATTTCCCAGCCTCCATGAGAGCCCCCCAATGCCCCCCGTGGGCACCAGGTCCTACGCTGTCCACCCTACATCCCCTACGGTCCTACTTACCCAGATACAACAGCATGGCCTCCATGGACTGGTACTTCTTCACCACCAGGTGGCTGTCGATGCCCAGCCCATGCACAATGGGCAGCACCTTCTCCGCAAAGTGTAACGGGCGCTCTGCGGAGAAACCGCACCATTGCCACTGGATCCACATGGTATAAAACCACCAAGGGCAAGCACACGCGCACACGTCACCTACTGCCTCCCCCTCCACCAGCATAATTATGGTCACGCTTTCCGTAAGCCAGCTTCTGCCTTGTTACACCTAGCTACAACCAAAACCAGGCCTGTATTGTCTCTCACCCATGTGTCCCCAACAAACACTGCCCCTCCCAGACCAAAAGTACTCCAGTTCCTTCTACCCTCGCAGGTTAAATCTGGTACGTCCCTCTGCATTGTCCCACGGTCTGGCTTCTATGGCCTCCAGCGTGTTCTCCCAGTCTAGCAGCGAGCCATGTCTCCTCAAAGCCCTGTCACTAACCATCAGATGGCCCTGCCTCACCCTCAGGGCCTGAGTGGCTGCCTCCACCTTCAATCCCACCCTTCAATCCCATCTCTTGGAGGGCTCAGCTCAGTGCTAGAGCTGTGCACTTTCTGGGAGCCCTGTCCTGTCTTTACCAAGGAGCCCTTGCTCTTCCTCACAGCAGGCTCAGGGACTCCATAGCCATTGGTTCTGCCATAGGCTCATCAGACAGCCTGAGTCTTCCCTTTAGTCAGCTAACACCATGGTGATTGTCTGTTTCTGGGAATGATTACAGTATTGGCATTTCCATCCTTACCAGACCTACCCCTGTGAGCACAGGAACCATGGACTATTGCCTGGCCCTCAGCAGATGCGTATGTCAGCAACAGTTCCACCTCGTCCCAACACCACCCCCTTCACCACAAAAGGCTCAGTCAGCCCACTCACACCACAGACAGGCTTTCCCAGGATACGATCACTACCACCACCTTCTTCACCCCGAGAGTAGTGTCACCCTACAATCCTATTGTCCTACAGCAACACCATTCTGACACATGGGAGAGCATCATCACGACTGGGAACACCTGCCCCTCCCCATCCACCATCAGCTCCAGCACAGCTACCACCTGGACCTGCTAGCTGCCATCACCACCAGCATGGAAACCACAAAGGTCATTAGGGTGTCAGCAAAAAGTGTCATCCAAATCCTCTGGGTCCCAGACTGTAGGGGGCAGGAGGAATGAAGGCTGGGCTGAGGCCATCCATGGTCACTCACCTGCCTCCTCCTTCTCGTTGACCTCGAAGCAGGTCCAGTAGTCCTTTTCCCTGATGCTCACGCTGCGCCGGTCTAGGATCTCCAGGACAAGCTCCTCTGCTGTCATGGATGCTGGGATCTGCAGCCACCCAAGAGATCAGCCAGGTCCAAATGCGTCACCACAATCCCCTGTGATTGAGGCCCCAAACCCATTCCTCCCTGGGTCCACTGAGCCCCAAGATGCACAGAGGCAGTATTTGGGGATTCTCATACATCTCAGAGTGGCTCAACCTGGCCCAACAGCCCCTACCTTGACGTGCTGTTCAGTCTCCTCCTTCTTCTCCTCCAGGTACACAGTACAGATGAAGTCACCCGCATGCTGCAGGAGAGACGAGGCTCAGCGAGAGGCCTGGGGAGCAATGCCAGCAGCCAGCACAGCCAACCCAAACCCTGGCCTGCACCTGGGTCCCACTGGCAGTGCCTGCTACTCGCATCTTCACAATGGCAGTGACTTCCTCCCTCTGCTTCCTCAGCTCCTCCTCGTCCACCTGGGAAGGGCCAGAGGGTCAGTGCCATCGGAGAGGCTTAGCCTTGCCCATCCTTCCCTAGCCCTGAGCTCTGGCTGGGACGCACACTGAACACCACCACATAGTGGTTGATGAGGTCTTCCACCACCTTGCCGGCCTTGTAGTCTTGCCCGTCTGTCTGGAAGAGCGTGGGCCCAAATACAATGGCCAGGTTGTGTGTGTTCATTTGGTTTGTATCTGAGAAGCACTGTACACTGGAAGGAGAACGAAGAGGAGCTAGGATTGAGGAGCCTGCCACCCACCTTCCCCATTCCCATCAGGCCCAAGAGGATAGAGTGGACCCCAATTAAGGAGTGAAGGGATGTATCTCAGGTGCTGGCAAGGTATAGAGAGGGCAGGGAAGTGAGGGCATTTGGCCTCAGATACCTGGCCCCAAACTGGCAAAAAAAAAAAAAAAAAAAAAAAAAAAAAACCATGGCCTCTATCCTGTAGGAAGTAAACTGAGATACAACATCCAAGATCAGGACAGTCATTGGCTGGTCCCCAGGCCCACCTGCTTGCCCACCTGAGGGCAGTTGGCCAGGAAGAGAGTACAAGAATTTTCTCCACCCGTCCACCCAGAGCCACACTGACATGGCCCTCACCAGTACAGATGGCTGACCAGGGCCTTCACAGTCGCCCGGTTGACAGGAGGTAGATGCACCAAGAGCTCTCGGTACCTGGAGATCTTTTCCTCCTCATCCTCGATCTCTGGGTGGGGGGAGATGGACTGGGTTAGAAATTGGTTCCCAAAGCCCCCTCCCAGCAGCTTTGCTTCTCATGATGGTGACAGCACTCCCAGGCGCCTAGCAGGGACTGGGACGTCTCTGCCCTCCACCTCTAAGCAACCCCATCTCTGACTAGAGGCAGAGAAGCAGAGTAGGCAGAGGAGCTGGGGCCAGTCCCGTCCAGAGATGGGGATATCATGACGTAGGGTGGACAAGGCTGGATGCAGGCAGCGGACCCACCAGAGGCCTCCAGCCAGGCCAGGCGCTGCGCACGAGTGAAGAGCCCATCGGGCAGGTCCCTCAGGAAGCGTTTGAGTGCAGAGGAGACGTCATCCACGTGCTGCTCGCCCTCTTTGAGGTGCACAGAGCGAGCGTCCTGCCTCAGGCTCTCCAGGAGTCTCTGGGTCTTGGAGGTCTGACCACACTTGCGATAGATACCCTCTGAGGTCAAGCCTGGGGAGGGAGTTACAGCACTCTTTTTAGAGGGTTCCTAGGCACTGGGGGCTGGGCATCTCCAGAGGAGGGGAGTGCTCACCACACTGTGTGATGTAGTCCACACAGCGGTACACGATCACTGGGATGTCTGAGTCCCCAAGCTGTTGCTCTGACAGTGTGTCTCCCAAGCTGGCTGCTGCTTTCTGGATGGCCCCAAGCCAACCCATGAAGTCCAGCCGCCGCACACCCTGGATGTACAGTGTCCTGGACCAGAGACAGTCACTGTCCCACCTATATGTCCCTGTGTCCCGCCTCTCCCCAGGCCACTGGACTGCTTCAGGCTTCTCCAGGCCCCTCAGGGAAACTAGAGCTCACCTCCTCCGCTCCACCAGCACCAAAACTTGGTTCTCGCTGTCTCCTTGGATAGCTGTGGAGGGGACAGTCAAAGTGAGGCCCAGGCTTTGTTTATGACTCCCAAACTGCTCCCTCATGAGGCCCTCTGAGATCTCACCCTTGGGTCCCACCCACCAACCTAAAGGATTACTCAGACGTTCTCCAAAGACAGGAGAGGATATCGGAGGGCAGGCTGGGTCATCTGGCCTCAGGCCAGAATAGAATTCAGACTTTTAGACAAGGGCTGGGGCAAGGGGACTGGGACAAGGGGCCCTAGAAATTGGGGGGCAAGGTTAATACACATACAAAGCTCCTGCAATCTCCGGAGCTGCAGTGGCTCTTCCCAGGGCCCCTCAGGGAAGACAGCCCGGAGTTCAGAGCCAGCCAAAGCGAACCAGCCTTCCTGAGCCTGCTGGAGGCTCAGGCCAGCTTTGTAGGGTAGGCGCCCAAGCCGCTCAAAGTCCCGGGCTAGCAGGTCCTCAGCCAGGGGAGGCACGAATGCCTAGTTGAGGAGACAGTGGGGAGAGACAAAGTCAACACCACATAGCCTTCTGGAAAAAGCCAGGCTCCTCAGCCTGTGGGTGAGGGCTCTTTCCCATCCAGCCACTTTCCTCCTCCCCAAGGCAGAACCTAGCACAGTGACAGACTTTGGTATCATGTACCCATTTGGATGTGTCCTTCTCTTGGGATGACCCTTCTCTGGGTTTCCACAGTGCCCACACACTCGGGCATCTGCTACACCACTGGCTATGCTACTGTGTCTGGACTCAGTCTGCCCCACTCCCATGGAAACAGACGACCCAAGACTGATACACCCGGGTCCTCAGGGCTCTGGGCTCTGATCCTCGGAAGGCACAGAGAGCTCATCAATGAGCTAATGAGGAATGGAGAGAGGGAACGAGGCTCTCGTCTCTAAGGCGGATCTCCCCTCTGTAGCCTCCTTGCCTTTCTCGCTAGTCTGAGTGCACACCTGCACGGCTAAAAGACTCGCTTTCCTGGAGTGCACTATCCATGCTACGGTGGCCCGTGCCTTGCCCCTGCAACCTATACTTCCCTTCACCTGAGAGGTCTGTCCTGAGTCTGCCCCATCAGAACTGGGTCCCACCCTGTCTCTATCACACACCTGCCCGCTCACCCAGGCCCACCTTGGCAATGCACTTGACCCATTCATGAGCCAGCTCTGCATTCTCCAGTCCAAACAGGTACAGCCGTTCTCCCTCTGTGTACACCTCAAAGGTGTGCTCGAAGCTGCAAACAACCAGTATTCACCCTTCTCCTCTGCTCCCTGCCCTTCTCAGGACCCTCCCTGGCCTCCCGAGAGGTGGGCACACAGCCCTGGCTGTGGTCTCATGAGATAAGGCCAATGCTTTCCAGTCCTGTGTGTGGCCCTAAGAAGGCCCTGCTCTCTAGGCCAATGTCCCTGCCTCCCGAACCAGAAGCTGAACTTCATGGACACTAGCAGTTTGTGGTTGTGGCCAGGGATGCTCACCCGTGGGTGTCCAGAGGGGAAACTGCCAGGCACACAATCTCACCGGCCCGGATCTCCCCATTGGGTGTCACTGCCCGTTCGTTCTCGTAGTAACTCAGGACCCCGTCACTAAGGACACACCAGCGCCGGCTGAACTCTGGGAAGAAGTTTGGTAGAGGACCGTGAAGAAGTCCCCAGCTCTGCTGAAAATCACTCCTGCCTTTTTCCTGGATTCCTGTTCCTCCCCACCTATAGGCTCTCCATTCAAACACACTTCCCTGAGGGTTCCCCAGCGGCAGCCCTCTGCACCGAACCTCCACTACTCTCCCGCAGAGACTTGTAAAGAAGAGGGGAAAAAGTCTAAAAATCACAAGGAAGAGTAAGAAGAAAAAACAGGATTGAGGGTGACGTGCAACACAGCATGAAGTAGCTGGGGATCACAGGAGATCCCTGCAGACGTGACATTTGAAGGGACACTTGGGGCAGAGAGGTGGGTATAAATCTGGCGTGTGTGACAAAGCAAGGACGCGACAGGGCCTGGGCAGAACCAGGAGGGGATCTGTGCTGTGAGAGGGTGGCAGCTGACAGAGGCTCTCGGAGGATGTGTAAAGACTGTGTGTTGTACTTGGAGTCAGGGAATAAATGAAAGGCAGCTGAGATCTGAGAGGGATGGCACTCAAGTCCTCAAACTGCCTTCCATTCATATCTGGAATAAGCCAGATGCCCAGCCAAAGACCTCACCCAACAGGGGCTTCATCCAGACTTCAGGCTTGAGGAAACAGCAGTGCCACACCCAGCCCCGACCCCAACCAGTCCGCTTCTCAAGCACCTACTGTATCCAAGAGACTTTCCAGGCGGTTCTGCCAGAGTGTTGTGGGATAGTATTTTAAGACATGTTACATTTGTTTATGCTGTGGAACATTTGTTTAATGATGCAAAGATGTGTTGCATTGTTTTATGTTGCGTTTGTTTAACTCTGTGAAGCTGTGATTCTTTGTCTGGATAAAACACCTGATTGGGCTAATAAAGAGCTGAACGGCCAACAGGAAGGAAAAACAGGTGGGGCTGGCAGGTAGAGAGAATAAATGGGAGGAGAAAGCTGGAATTAAGGAGAATAAAGCAGCGAGAGAAGGAGGAGAAACCAAGGGTTCAGCCACCTAACTAAAGAGCAAGTCAGTTTAGAAGTAAGAAGTAAAAAAGGGGATACAGAAATAAAGAAAGGTAAAAGCCCAGATGCAAAAGATAGGCAGGATAATTTAAGTTAAAAAAAAAAAAAAACTGGTTAGAAATAAGCCTAGCTAAGGCTGGGCATTTGTAAGAAATAAGCCAAGCTAAGACCGGGCATTTGTAAGTAATAAGCCTCTGTGTGTTTATTGGGAGCTGGGTGGAGGACTCTCCCAAAAGGGTAAGAGAAAAACAACCACGCCAGAGTCCACTTGGCACCCTTAGCCCACCAGCAGAGTCAGTCCTAGCATCCTGGCCCTGCAGCCAGGCTAACACACTCACCCTGGCACGGGTGGGTACGGCGCAGCGCTCACCTTCCCGGGCACGGCGGTCCTGTAGAGGCTTGCCAGCAGAAGCAGTTTTGTACAGGAAGCCACTGTGGCTCACAGTTGGCAGGATCACGGAGTAGTGCTTTTCCAAGGGCTTCACTGAGTCCAGCCGAGGGACCTCTTTGGAGCAGAAGAAAGAATGGTGGTGGTCAAGCTGGGTGTCCAGGAGGTGTGTGGTCACAGTCCTGCCTCCTCAGCTCCCTACCAGCACCTCAGGGTCCTAGGGCCACCTCCATGTCCGCCTCTGCCCACAAGCAGGAATGTCACTCCATTCTCAGGGCCCAGCTCTAGTCTGTCCCTTTCAGGAAGCTTCACTGACTCCAAAGCCCACCCCACACTCCCTGTTGGAGACATAGAGCCAAACATACTGGAATGAGGGGGCTCTGGGCCAACTCAATAACATTCCCTGGAGAGAGGTCTGTCCAGACAACATAAAGGCCAGTGAAATAGCCTGGCCCTAGTGACGAGCACTGGGGGTCATGTTTCCTAGCCCAGTCCAGCTGGGTGGTCTCTTGCACCTCCCCGGACACCTGGGCTCTTTCCAGCCTAGCATGCCCCACCCACAAGTGGCCCGAAGCCCAGAGCCCCAGACACTGAGCCCCACCCTCAGCCTTAGGATGGTGCCCCAGGAGACCAGGTCTGGGCCACAACCAACCCCTCTTCATGCCCCCCCCCCAGAATGGGAGCCAAATGGGACCTAACCCAGGACTGTGATGGAACTCCACCCAGACTGAGCAGACAGACCACACGGCTGCTGGGTAGGACACGCACACAGCAACACAGACCCACTGCCCACACACAAACCCCAAAGCCTTAACACTCCCAGGTGAGCACAAAGAATCTAGGCAGCTCCAAGGTTCATCCTGGAACAGACACCCGTATGGACCCACACTGTAAGTCAGGACAGAGCACACAGATAAAAGTCCCAGAGATACTGACGCAAAAGGACATTCACAGAAAACATACGTATCCACCGACACATACACCCCAAACACACCCTAAGTACCATGCTGCTGCCCCAGGGACCACCATAGGAGCTTCAATTATAGCTTGGGAGTGCCTGCAAATCTCAGTTTCTGTTGTCACTCCTGTGAACCTCTCTACAATGCCAGACCCCCAGCAGAAGACGGAGCCACTGGCCACTCACCTGTGCTCTGGTTATTCCGTAGAAACTCCATCTGCAGTGTCTGTCCAGCCTGCTCAGCAAGAGCCAGGGGTGTGGGAGCTGCTGGGTCCCCTGAGAAGCAGCTGACCCCAGCCCCACAGCCCAGGAGTGCCTGGGTCTCAGCCAGGTCAGTGGTAGTAACTGCAGCACACAGGGCCTAGAGGAGAGAGGGGAAGGTCAGTCCGAGCTGGAGTGGGAGGGAGGTGGAGGGGTAGGGATGGGAGCTTGCAAGAAGGGAGGAGGAAAGAGGAAGGAGTCATCCAAATCTGAGTAGACCATCCCCAGACTGGAAGAGGCCAGGGCCTAGGGAAGCCAGAAGAAAAGAAAAGAAAGGACTAGGAGTCAGAAGAAGAGGAGAAGGCTAGCTAGAGAGGCTGGACTACCCGGCTGAGGCTGGGGTCCTAGCCCAGGGCCTCACCCTGCTGCAAGTCAGGCTGCAAGGAGCCCTTGGAGGATCTCAGGCTCCCTCTGTCTTGGAGCGGGGGCAGAGGGCGGGGCTAAGGATTGTAACTAATTCCTCCCACATTGCATTCCTCACTGCCTGCCCGGCCCTCCGGACCAATGGGAGCCACCACCCTCCTGGCTTGTAGGCCAGACTGGGCTGGGCTGAACTGGGGGCCGGACGCCTAGGTTTTTGGGAGGTGTAGGTCTAGCTTCCACAGAGCTCTGGGAGCTAGACTTGGCCTGCATGGGGAGGACTGCTCGGAGGAAGAGCTGAAGGCCACCCATGCGTCACAAATGCCACCCGCTGCCTCCAAGCGAGCTGTCCCCCTCTCAGGCTGAACCACATCACGGTCCAAGACTTGGTTCCCAATCTTCTGGGGTCTGGGGCCCAAATGGGGCCCCATGTAGAATGGGGTGTGGAAGGGGTGGGTCAGAGCAGGCCAGCTGTTTTTCATGAGCCTGACAGGAAATAGCATCCCCATCGCGTTCACTCCTTTTGGCAGGATTCTGAAGGAACAGGACAGGGTGCGGGGCACAGAGGAGTCAGGAGGAGGCAGCCAGATGCTGAAGACATGGCACTGGGCCAAGAACCAAGTCTGACTCCTCCCTGCATTGTCCTGGCTTTCCTTAGGCAGGCCCTGCTGCCCTTTGGGCCTCAGTTTCCCCATATGTTCACAACCCTCTAAGCGAATGGAAGAGATGGGCTGAGGTAGAGGAATGGGGACAAAGAAAGGAATAGGTTCAAGGGTCCCTGACAATGCAGGGACAAGAAGGCTCAAGAATCCCAGAGGCTTGGTGTGCTGACCTTGTCCAGCTCCTCCTGGTTGCCGAAGAGTGGGTGGTAGCGACGGTACTTGCCCTCTCTGTACTTGGCCTCCAGGTGGTACCTCCTGGCAGCAGGGCCGCTGCTGGGCTTCAGGGCCTCACTAGGGGGCACGTTGGCGGCCCAGAAGCGGTTCCCAGGGCCATTGCCCAGCTGAATGAAGAGCTGTGGGTGTGAGCAAGAGGTGAAAGGCAGCTGACAAGAGGCCCTGAGATCAGGCCACACCCTCTGCTCAGATTGTCTTGGACACTCTAATAGGTGAAGGTGTGAGGCCTGGGCTCTGGGAGCCTTGCTGTTGTCTCAACCAGCCCCACACCTGGAGCTCTGCATTCTCAAGGCTGTCCCCGTGAGGGGGTGGTGTCTAACCTGTCAGCCTAGGGTAGGCGGGGACGGGGGTCTATCTGCCCCTGACATTCCTCTCTGGATGAGAGAGGGTGGCGGTTTCTAGGAGGTGAAGGGGACAGCATTGGGGGGGCAGGATCATTTCCCCTCTGTTCCATAGTCACCCTATCACAGGCATTTTCTGGACTCCCAAGTCCACTTGTTCAGAGTGCTGATCACTCTCTGCCACTATGGACATGATTGGGTTTGTTTTTTTTTTTTTTTTCTCTGAGCCTCGGTCTCCTCCTTGTATCCTGGGTATTCTAATCCTAACTCAGGGCTACCCTGAAAGACACACTCTGTTAAAAAAGCAACATTCTCTACATTGCTATGCCAAACATAAAGAAGGGTACATGAAATGGAAACTTAGCAGTAAGGCCCCGGGGGGCAGGTTCCTGGATCCAGCCTCCTGCTACAGGTTCCCCATAACAACTATCACACGCACAGGCACCAAAGAAGTTTAAATGCATACATGTCCACACGTGAGCCTCAAATCGTGCATCATGTACACACTCTGCACATGCATTCAGGAGCAGGGAGAGCTCGGGCGTGCTGAGGGGTGTGCACAGTGGAAAGCTAGGGCACGGGGTGGAGAAGAGCAGGCTGGGTAGTCAATCTGCAGTAGTTGGGTAACCTTAGGCGCATTACAGCCCAACCCAGGGCTTCAGTCTCCACATCAGGACAACAGCTGAACTATATCGGGGGTCAGCGATTCTCTAAAAGGTCAAATAATAAGTAGTTTGGGTTTTATGAAACATACACCATCTCTGTCAAATCTGTTTTTACAACCCTTTAAAACTGTAAAAACATTCTTCGTACAGTGGCCAGTTTGCTAATTTTGCCAAAAATAGGTTCTTCCAAAATCCCCACCGAAGGCCCCCTGGCTCACTGGGCCGGGGAATGGCAGCTGAGAGGGGAAACCCCAAGCAGGGGTGACAAGCCGGGCATGCCCACCTGGATGAGAGTTTCTGTCCACACCTTCCTGTCCATCTTCAGGCTCCGCACCTTAGACACGCCAGCACCCAGACCGCGGTGCTCTCCTGCGATGACCAGACAGTTCGCTGGGTAAACCCTTCCCATGAGCACTCAGCCACCCACAGTGCTCCTCGCCTGGAGCAGGCCTGGAGCTAGTCTGCAACTCCATTTGGCACAGCACAGTGGGCCATCCGGCAACTTTCCTACCAGCTGTTCTAGTCATAGATATCAACACCCACCTGCTCCCTGACATCCCCAACTTCCTGCCTCAGCTTTCTTCCCCACCTCCCTACATGGCCACACCTTCCTGTCATACAAGTCTCGGTTGACATGTCACCTCCTCAGAGATGTCCCAAACAAATGGCACCTTCTCTTCCCACTTCTTGCAATTCCAATACTTTATTGGCTCCTGTGTTTTCTGCCCTTCCTGTTACAATGCAACTGCATATAAACAGGATCCTGATCTGGCTTCAGGTTTCTGTCCTCAGTGCCCAGAACAAACCCACACTGCCTGGTTCAAACCCTGGCCCTGCATTCATGCTCCATCTTCCACAGAGAACCACGTCCACCAGAGTCAGCCTGTATCAACTCCATCTTCCACAGAGAACTGTGTCCACCAGAGTCAGCCTGTATCAACTCCATCTTCCACAGAGAACTGTGTCCATCAGAGTCAGCCTGTATCAGCTCCATCTTCCACAGAGAACCGTGTCCACCAGAGTCAGCCTGTATCAACTCCATCTTCCACAGAGAACTGTGTCCACCAGAGTCAGCCTGTATCAGCTCGACAAACTCGTTTTCCTTACGTCATCACCAGCAAAGCTGCCTCTTTTCTACACACAGACCTCACGGCCCCAGGGCCTGACATCTGGCCTAAAGTCCCACAGCCTAGAAGTTCTTCCCAAGCTCACTGACTCATCCAGATCTGTTCTTCTTCCTGAATTCTCACATTAAGGACCCCCTCAAATCTGCAGCCATGCAAAACCACCACCTGGGCACTGTCAGCTCTCGGGATAATCCAATTGCCAGCATATGGCAAGCAGAGCCAGCAGATGAATACACCGTGGGCCCCACCTTGTTCCATTCCCTCTCCTCAGCCGTGTAGCACAGACGCTTCCGTATGTAACTTCAAACCACCCTAAAAGGCACCCAGCACCTCCCATCCCACTCCTGGGTGGTGCAGCAGCCCTCCTCAGGTCTCCAATTCAGCTTCTTCCTGTAAACTAAAGTCTAGCCCACAGAGCTGACTATGTCAAAACCCTGGCTCCTTTCTCAGCATGAAGAACCCCGGTAGGCCTGGCCATCTGCATGCTTCTAATGTGTCAGGGACACCAGATTCTAACAGCCTGGGCTCTGATCTAAGCTCACTTACTTGCCAGGTAGCCCTGAAAAAAAATGCTTTTCCCTGCTTTGTCTGTCCCCATCCTTGTGGAAAGAGTTAACAATGAATTGAACACTAAAGATCCCTCCCAGAGGAATAGCCAAAACCGCTGGAGCAGCGTTAGGAATAAGGGCTCCAGGCCACCTGCAGTCCAATGGCCAGCCTGTCACACACATACCTACCTGCACAGCGCTTGCAGATGACAACACAGAGATTGATGGAGGCCCAGTCAGGCTGGGGAGCTCCACAGTCAGCACAGAACCTGTTGGGGGCGGCAGCCCAGATGCGCTCGGCCACCTCTGAGGTGGACAGGGCCTCTGCAATGGCTCCCTGCATGGCCTCCAGCCACTGCTCCTTCTCCACCTCTGAATCAGCCGAGAAGCTGTGGACACATAAGGAGGGAACCGGTAGGAAAGGCCTCGGGGATTGGAGGGTCAGAGGGAGGGAGGAGCGGCCTGAGCTCTGGGTCAGGACTGGTAGAAAAGTGAGGACAAAGGAAGGAGTCATGAAAACGAGAAATAAAGGGGAATCCAGAAGAAACAGAGAGAGAAAAGGAGATAAAGGGGGCAGACGTTTAGGGCAGAGAGGGCAGGAGGGCAAACTAGCAGAGAAGATGACAAGAGTTGAGTGGGACAGGCCTGAGACAGGCAGAGCAGGCGCAAGGAGCCCTCAGAGCAGCAGAGCACCAGTCCAGACTTATGGGGTGGAGGACAGAACACAGAGGTGTATGCATACCACCTCCACCTTCAGCCAGAAAGAACTCCACTGGGGGTCCAGATGGTGGCACACACCTTTAATTCCACCAGGGGCAGAGGCAGGTGGATCTCTGTGAGTTAAAGGCCAGTTTGGCCTACATAGTCCATTTCAGGACAGCCAGGGCTATGCAGAGAGACCCTGTTTCAAAGAAAAAAAGGAGGGGGAGAAAGAGGAAGAGGAAAAAGAAAAAGAAGAAGGAAGGAAGGAAGGAAGGAAGGAAGGAAGGAAGGAAGGAAGGAAGGAAGGAAAAAGAAAACTCCATTGGTCTGACACATGGGTCCCTGAAGCTCTGTCTCCCAAAGCCTCCTGCTCTTCAAAGTAGAAAGCTCTACCTGGAGAGCAGATGCAAAACTGTCTTCCTTCCGGCAAAAGCTCCCTCTGGAGCTGGACGGTGGTGCTAGCACATGCTTTAATCCCAGCACTCAAGAGGCACAGACAGGCAGCTCTCTGGGTTCGAGGCCAGCCTGATCTACAGAGCTAGTTTCAGGACAGCCAAGGCTACACAGAGAAACCCTGCCTTGAAAAACAAAAAAACAAAACAAAACCTCCCTCTGGTATTTATCTGCTGCGGCTGTCACCACCAACTGCAAGCCACACAGAAGTGTCTGAGAGTCCACACCTCTCACAGCCTGTCAGCATAGTCAAGGAAGGCATGGATGCTGGAGGGGTAGTGGTCACGAGCTCCGGTGTGGGATGTCCTTCTTTCTATGTGTTGCTTGTATTGGTTAATGAATAAAGAAACTGCCTTGGCCTGATAGGGGCAGAACTTAGGTAGGCGGGGAAAACAGATTCTGGGAGGAAGAAAGCAGAGTCAGAGAGAAGCCATGGATCCTCTGCCTGAGACAAACGCTGGTTAGAATCTTTCCCGGTAAGCCACTGCCACATGGCGATATACAGATTAATAGAAATGGGTTAAACCAAGATGTGAGAGCCAATAAGAGGCTAGAGATAATGGGCCAAGCAGTAATTTAATTAATACAATTTCTGTGTGGTTATTTCTGGGCTAAGCTAGCCGGGCGGCCGGGATGAACAAGCGGCCCTCCCCCTTACAACAGAGCTCCTCTTTGGGAGAGAAGCCTCCACCACGACAGCCAGTAGAGAAACTCAAAGGTTGCCAGGGCTCGAGGGAAGCAACCAGCATTCTCATTCCATCGTACCAAGTCCTGCAGGCCCAAGTGGTGGCCCTGATGAACACCTAGCAGCCTCATTGAGATGGGTGACGGTGACAGTAACCAGGGGAGCACAGCGGCCTCTGCATCTGACAGAAACCCCAAAGTGGCTGGCTGCAGCTGTTGTGGTCGTAAGGATAATGGAGAAGAATTATAGGCCGATGACACAGGATAATGCAAATGTAAGAAACAGACAGACACCAACCTAGCTCTTGAGGTCAAAGGTCACTACCTGCTGTCACTATGGACAGAGCAAAGCCACTAAGACCAACAATCAAAGAACAATGAAGACGAGACCAGAGGGCCGGCCAAGCTTTGGCCAGGATGGTGACAGGCACAGAGAGGAGACAGCCCAAGTAGAGAGCAAAAACGGTGACAGCGACAGACTTCGAAAAGCAGAGAAGGGCCGTGAGGGAGGTGTCCCAGCAGGCAACAGGCGCTCAGACTTTGAGCATAAGTAGGTTCTGTTGGAAAGCCCACAGGTTCAGGGTTGGGGACGGCCGGATGACACCACAAAGCAACACCCAGGGAGAGCGTAGCAGGGTGGAGGAACAGTGTGGCCAGACAAAGGTGAGTGAAGAAGTTGACAGACTAAGGCATGTGGGTGAGCAGAGCAGACCTGCCCCATGGGGCTGCAGGGGGGGGGGGGGAATCACCTGAAGATGCGGTAGGGGGTAGTGAGGTCAAAGCTGCGCCGGTCTACTTCCTTCACGTTGCCCACGTTCATGTCGATGAAGGTGATGCCGATGCCCAGATGGAACTCCTGATGGACGGGTGTGAAGGGAGGGAGGCAAGGCTGAGAGCAGGGCTGAAGGTACAGCACGGGGAGTTGGGGAAGGTGGTTCCCAGGGACTAGAAAGAGACTAGGAAGGAGGAAGGAATCTGAGCAGGGATGGAAGCTGGATTACAACAACTGGGATGAGTGGTGGAGCTCAGGAGCTGAGTGGGGAGGGTGGGAGGTGGATCTCAGGAGCTGAGTGGGGAGGGTGGGAGGTGGATCTCAGGAGCTGAGTGGGGATGAGGCACAGATAGACAGGAGG